CCCCTATCTCTCTTTTCCTCCGCTACTGAAGAAGACACGATTCCGGATGCAGTTTGCGGAATCGGCCGGGCGGGCTGGATTGTGTCCGGTCGTTCCCTCCGCCAGGACGGCCAATCAGAGGCTTCCTCCGGCCGAAGTGCTCTCTTCGCCACGGTCGACAGCACACGAGTTGTCCCCTGCCTGTACTCTACCTAGCTCCCTACTCTTCGAGAGTGCACTGCACACGGCCCTCTTAGTCTCCACAGTTTAAGGACCAAGGGATCCGCCCCCCGCCCCTCTCTCTTCTCCTCTCCCCATTTCTGCTTTCCTGTGTCTGGGTCGAACAGGTGCCTGGACGCCCGTAGTTCAGCGTGGCGGACCCTGGCTCAGAAAGACCCGTTTGTCATTCTATATATTTGAAAAAAAAAATAACGAAACGCTCTACATTCCAGACTAGACGAGTTTGCTCGATATCCATGTAAATCTCTGATTACTGGTCCCGGGTCGGCTCCATGTGACGCGTGCCCGGGAACCTACCGACAAAAGTCCTCAATAAAAAAACGCGCCCTGGTCCGGCGGTCCGGCAGTGAAAGTAGTGTTTGGCTAGCCCAGCGGTTCCCAACCTTTTCTTGCTCGCGACCCCAAAAAGGACCTAATTTTTTTCGCGACCCCATGGAGTGTACATCGCGACCCCACGCGACCCCAGCCCCCCCCCCTTAAAAAAAACAATAATAATTGGTTACCATAATGTTGATTTTGTTCCTTTTTGATAGGTTTCTAATTTGTCGTTAGCTCACACCCACTAAATGGCCAGTGACAATTTTTGTACAGACTAGATGTGTCTTCGTGCACATCTAAATCAAATACAAATGTTTATCTGATGATGGTGTGAGCAAAGACACATCTTACCTAGGTACAAAAATTATCCCTCCCCATTGACACTGCAGATGTTCGCATTCCTAAAATTTCTTAGAGAAATACTTATTAAATAATAATAAAGCAAAGTGTAGGATGCTACAAGAGAATGTGTTTCGCTGCATTCTCACTTACACTCCTCTGGGTTTCTCGTCTACCGTGCTCCCCACGTGTTCCTGTGGCTAAAGGGTCAACTAGGTATACCTGGGGTCGCGGCCTGGCTGCTGCTGGACCCCTTCTTGTGGAAACATGGAAAAACCACCGGCTGTGCGCCTACCTCAACTGAAACTGGATCGGAAGCGCCAAACAACCGGTGGTTTTTCCATATTTTCGCACAGGAAGACCCCTTCGGTTAGGTCCAGTGGGAGCCTGGCCGCGACCCCAGGCGACCCCCGGCCCCTCGCCGCGACCCCAAAATTTCTTCTCGCGACCCCAAATGGGGTCGCGACCCCGAGGTTGGGAACCGCTGGGCTAGCCGCTGTCCGAGGAGGTGTGAGGCGAGGAGGACCAATTTGATGCAAACGAGATCAACTGTCTGGCCACCAAACAGGCATACCGCCATTAGAGCTCAACCGAGCCGCACCTCTCACGGTGGGGGGCCAGAAAGGTGTCGTTCCTTATTTTTTTATGTTTTTTTGAAGGAGGAGTGGTCAGTCTTTTAGGCTTCCTGAAACTTTCCTTGAGTATTATGATTGTTTTCAACGCCATGGCGCACTTTATGTGTTGGACTTAAAATGTGAGAGCAGCTGGTATAAACGATCCTACGGGACCATTTAAAAGCCGTACTTTTGAAACTGAAGGCTCGCTCTCCTCCCTGTACCCACCTCTGGCCGGACACCCGCCCTCCGCGTCCTGCCGTCCACGTAGAGGCGGTAGAGGCCGGAGCGGCCGTCCCAGGAGGCGCAGATGTGGACCCAGCGGCGCTGGGCCGCCTCGGGCAGCGGCTCCACCAGCACGGGCCTCTCCAGGATCACGAAGTGGAGGCGCGGCGGCAGGCGGTGACCGACGGCGGGCGACACCCAGGCGCGTGCGAGCCGGTCGCGCTCGTGCTCTGCAACAACAAGCAATAAACCTGTGATACAGGACAAAATGCATAAGGGGTTAGTGTACTTCCAGGCGTTTGGTTTGGAGCGGGAGAGAGCGAAAAATGTGGCTTCTTCGGCCTCGGCGGTCGGGCTAAGAAGCCACATTTTTCGCTCTCTGGCCGGGCTACCATGTTGCTTACTCCGCGCCTGATGCCACACGCCGCGATCATTTCACGCCTCGTTCCGGGAGCTTCAAATGCTGGCGGCGCATGAACCGGTGCCGGACTGAGAGTGCACGGCACGGCGCGTGCCTCGCGCCTCGCCTCGCCTCCCCAGCGAGCGAGCGTGAAAATATTTGGCGTATGCGCCGGAACCAGTTGCAGTGGCACATCAAATACCCGGCACCACATCATAACCTCCACCATGCCCCTCCCCCCTCCCCCCTAAAAGAGCATCATCGTTAACTTGAAAGCAGCAGAGGGCTTCACAATCTCTTACTTACCTGTCTCTTAACTATCGTTCGTTCTATAATAAGTTACGGAGCCCTGTTTGAAAGCGGAATTTCGTTTTCATTGTTAATCTTTGTGAAACTTTGGCATAGCTCTCTCCCTCTGGCGACCAACTTAGGAACTTCCAGGAGGGGACCACAAACACAGCTTATTGTGCCATATGTGCACATATGTGGCCGCGTGGGACTTAATGTGTTTATGCTATAAAAAACAGCCTGATGCAGTAAATTTTGTTTTATCATTAGCATTTCTTTGCCCACTGAGAGAGGCGAGACGCGACTGAGGCGCCGCCGGGGATACGTGCCGTGTAGCAGGTGTAGGCCCTTTCCACGTGAGGAAAGTGGATGGGAAGGTTACGGCCTGGACCATGTAGGCCCCCCGGACTGGGCGACTGGGCTGCCGGTGCCCCCCCCCCCTTCTTTTCCCGAGGTCCGGCCGGCAGGTAAAGCGACCCCGACACTCCGGCTCCGGGCTGCAGTCTCTACCAGCGGAAGCTCCCCGGACGCCGCTGCCGAGCTGCCCGGAAATAACAAAATAACTTCTGGGCCGCACGAGTTTTTTTTCTTTTTACGATGTATGAGAAAGTAAGTATGTGGCGTTTTGTTCGGTTATGTCAACCGACCCGGGACAGGGCGGGGACGGGTCCTGTATCCACCTCCTCAGCCTGCGAGGCGCGTCTGTGCACAAGGCTTGAGCCCCGGGGCCTTGCCAGCTTGGGCCTGTACAGTGTTGGCGACAGACACACCCATTGTCACTGATAACAAATAATTGTAACGACGTTCTGTTTTGTGCCTCACAAAGTTTTCCCCAACCCTACTCCCCTCTTTTAACCTCCCTGGACAACTCGCTTCATCACACCTTTCGCGTGATGAAGGTGTCGCTTTTTAGTGTGGGTTGGGGTTATCCAATCTCCGCGGGTGGGTTCCGCTCTCTGCAGTGCCTCGGCGGCCCCGGTCGCGCCGGTGGCATCCTCGACCGCAGCAGGGGACGCCGCACCGGCGCCAGGACCCGCCAGGACCCGCCAGGAGCCGCCAGGACCCGCCAGGACCCGCCAGGACCCGCCAGGACCCGCCAGGACCCGCCAAGGACCCACCCTACCTCCGCCAACCTTAATTAGCGCTCCCTGGCTCCATCCTACTTTTCGCGGTCCAGCGCTTTATACTGCTGTGTGGCATTCCGCTGCTTCTGCTGCACAACCAGCACTGCACAACCAGCACTGCACAACCAGCACTGCACAACCACCACCTCCCTGACGCAACGCTGCTGTGCTCGACTAATGTACTCACTGGAGTAGGACAGTATGGGGTGATTGTGCGTCAGGTTCCTCGAGCGGAGCCACACGCAGAAGGACAGCTCGCGCAGCTCGGGCACGTCCACGATGTAGCGCAGGAACTGGAACAACAAAAGAGTATGAGGCAGAGCTAGAGAGAGAGAGAGGGGGGAGAGGAGGGGGCAGGGCGACCTGTCAGCAGCGGGAGGAGCGGAGCGCGATCCGGGCGGGCCTCCGGGACGCATATAAACTGTCATGGCCTGGCGGGCGGGCCCCGGCCGGCGGGGCCGGGCGGGGCGGGCACGCCGGGGCTCGCGCGGTCGCGATCTCGCCCGCCGCGGTTTTGCCATGCCAGGCCAGGCCAGGCCTTACCTTACCTTCCCTTCCCTTTCCGCGAGACGCAGTTATGGCGTTCCGATGCAATCGCAGCTCAGCTCAACCCGGCGGCTGCGTGGCCCGGCCAGACCCGCCCAGGCGCGGCACGGCGCGGCGGGGACAGAGGACAGGCACTCCGACCAGAGACAGCAGCAGCAGCAGCCGACCCGACCCGACCTGGCACTCCCTCGCTGCTACTGCCACCGCCGCCCGATTTTCGGAATGGTGCGCGTTGTGGGAGTCGCCGCCGACCGCGAAACGACGACGACGTCGTCTACGTCTCGCATCCCGCATGCCCCTGCCTCGCCTTGGTTGTTTGTCTTTTTGTCGTCGAGCCTCCATACCTGGCGTTCCTTCCCCGTTTTCGCTTCTTTGTCGCTCGCACGTGCTCGGTCAACGACCCGTGTGCGCACGTGGGCGAGAAGTGCGTGCGAGCTTCAGGGGCGTATTAAGAGGGGGGGATCGAAAGTTGCCTACATACAGGTGTTTTGTTTGTCAAATTGCCTACCTTTAGGCGGCTATCTAGTGAACCAGAGGGGGGGGGGCACCTGGCGAGCCTTTTCGTCTGAGATGGAGGGGTAAAGACCACGGAGTGCCTTTGAATCCGTCTGAGAGGAGAGCCATCCGTTATTCAGACGAGTTCCTCCTTCCTATATCCCGTATCAGGCGGGCCCGCCGGGGGAAACTCCTTGCACATTAGTCTTGTAAAACCTTCTCCTGCCGCTGCGGGGGACTTGGACCGGTCACCGGCACGTGTCCTCGCACCTGTCCCATCCCGCACCCCGCCGGGTCACGGGGGTCACGACGGGTGCTTAGCCGGGGTGTCGTCCGCCCGGGCGCGAGGTCGTGCCGAGCACTTCGGCGACCAGGCAACAGACATTGGACCCGCTCCCCGGCCAGCCAGGCGGGGGAGTTACCGAGGCTGCGGGCGGGACCGCTCGCTGGACGGGGATCACAGGGCGGACGTTGGTGGGGCGAAAGTGAACACGGCGAAACGCCCAGTCGGTCGCATCCCCTTTCTTTATCTGTCTCTCTCTCTCCCTCTCTCTCGCGCGCGCGTTCTCTCGCTCTCATCCCTTATTTTTATTACCCCCACCTCACAAGTTTTGGCATCCGACCAACCATTTAGCCGATATCGTTGGCATTTGCAGCAGCCATGGGACAGTTCCTTATCGTCTCTACTGCACACGTTTTTTTTCAGCGTGTGTGTGGGACTGTGTGGGCGTGCGCACGTTTCGTTTTCTTTGCACACGCCAGCGCACGCGGGTTTAGACAGTCACAGGGTGAAAAGCGCCTGACGGGCAGAGAGTTAGGCAAAGTCACACAGGCGTGTGTAAACATTGGCTTGGCTTCTGCCTTGATTCAGAGATTACTGTCAGCCGATCGGTGTTCGCTCTATGGGTAGACCACGCATGGGCTTGGCTCGTTGTACGAAAGTAGGCTCGTCATTTACCATTAACCTTCACGAAACTGCCGAGTTGAGCCACTGAAAGCTCTCATGGCGCCTGACGGGTAGGCAACATCTTGCCTGCAGTGCATGCGTGTACTGCGGTGTGGCCTACCCCGAGTCTCGCAGGCGCCGAGCTCGCGTAATTTTGACGAATGAATCGGACAAAAGACGGCATTCTGGATGATTCCTGTGACAGACTGACCGACGGAGAGGAGAGATATACATTTGTGCGTGTCCCGATGTTGGGGTGTTGCGTACTCACTAGGCGCCGGTCGCTCAGACGCGTTGAGAAAAATGTTTGCTCGCCACGGCCGAAAAATTTGGTTGCTGTCACTAAAATGGTGTTCTATCTGCCCCCTTAGTCATAACCATAGAACGTTCTATCGTGTTGGCTGAGCGTTCTGGCGCTCCAACCAAACAGCACGATAGAACGTTCTATGGTTATGACTAAGGGGGCAGATAGAACACCATTTTAGTTACAGCAACCAAAGTATTTTTCTGCGTGCGGAAGCCTGGTCAGGAAATGGTATCCATGTACATATACATTGCCTGAGCCCACCACCGGCCACCGGTTCCTGTGGGTAGATTGCCCATTTACGCATCTCAAATTAATATTCAATCGTGGACAGGTGATTGATACGCGGTGCTCGCGGCGTGGCGGCCAATGAGCGCCGGCCGTCGCGAGCCGCGCCCCCGGCCCGGCCCGGTCCCACCACGCCCCCAGCCACACCCTCGGCCCCGCCCCGCCCCGCCCCGCCGCACCAGACAAACTAGACCGGCGAGGAGTTTGGCCTGGAGTCTAGACCACGTCCTGGACCGCGCCGCTGGCATTCCTCCCGACCCGGACAAGGCGCTGGTCAATAACCACAGCAACAGGGCCGCGGGGGCCAATACAGGTGTCGGCTCTTCAACTTTTGCGACATTCCGTCTCTTTCGGGGTACCTAGGTACCTTTCGGGGTACTCTCTACGCGCCCAAGGAAAAGAGAGGAATGGGGGGGGGGCTCGTTGTAATCTAGATGAACGTGCACGTCCACCGCCGCGCGAGGGAGGGAGGGACAGGCAGCGAGGGAGAGAGAGTTTAGCCGGACAAAGTGTGGCGCACGGTGACGGTGGCGGCAGCGGACACAAGGCAAGGCGCGTGCTATCGGTTTCTTGGGCGGCGCACCACCTGAGCCGCGAAACTCACAATGCGGCAGCCGTTGGCGCCACGTGCGAGCCGAGCCGAGCCACGCCACGCCTCGCCATGACGGGCCCATTATGCCACTAGCTAGCACAATCAGACCCCGGCATCTGAGCCAGCTCCGGCGGCGGGCTTCCTCTGCCTCCCTCTCGGCAGACTCATTGCCGGCGCCTGGCACGGGGAGGAGGTGCCCCCTCCACCCTCCCCCCGCCGCCGGCCCGCGCCGTGTACAAGATGACGGCTCCCTTCGCGACACTCGCGGAAATGAAAGATATGACAGTAGCGCCTTACCTGAATATACCCCATCTGCGTCAGGGTGGCCTTGTGCATGGGCGGCTGAGTCCAGGCGGGCCCCGGCCGCGCAGAGGCGCGCTGCAGAGCCGCGACCAGCAGCGCGTCGTGCTTGTCCTCGTCCGGCACGTCGTACACGGCGACCCTCTTGGCCCTGGCCAGCGCCGTGGCGTTGTAGCGCGCCGGTGGCGGGGAGCTGCTGCTCACCCCGGCTCGCCCCGTCAGGAGCACGACGGTGACGACGACGAGCAGCTGCAGCACCGAGTCTGAGGCCATGGCGGCATGGGAGCAGAGCGAGGGCACGGCGACAGCACAGCTACAGCACAGCACGTCCCACGGCTTCGTCGGCCTGGGCCGCAGTGTGCCGGTGCCGGGAGCTGGCCCCGCGTGGGCCCCCCGCCCCCCGGCAGTGGCTCCGGCCGCCGCGCCCCCCGCGCTGTGCCCCCCCCCCCCTTCTCTCACCATCGCCCGCGACAGGTTCAACCCGCGCCGCCGCCGCGCAGCAAATCGGACATGTGTTTTTATTTCTGGTGTTCTTTGTGTGTTGCAGGCCAGCAAGGCGAGCAGCGTGCCCCCGCAGCCCTACTACATGACGCACTCGTTCCCGCCGGGCGCCCCTCCGGGAGTGGCCGCCGGGCCAGGCGTCCCTGGCTCGTCCGCCACCCTGCCGCGGGGCGGCTCCCTCATGCGGGCCTACTCGCCAGCACCCAAGAGCCTGCCGCCATCAGGTGAGACCTGTCTCTGAACATGATTTTTTTTTTTTTTTTTTTTTTTTTTTTTTTTTTGTAGAGGTTGAAGTTGTGTCGCTGAAAGACACTGTCGGAGAGGGATCATGTTTTGTGTGGTTTAAGTACACTTAATACTTACTTCACAATCTACAAGTGTTTGCTTTTTTTTCGTTCTGGATCCAGCGTTGCCCGTGAAAAGTCCTCCTCCTCTAGCCCCTATGCGCAGTTACATCCCTCCCAAAAGTCCAACCCCAATCTTCCCCAACGCCAATCTCCGTCCTAGACCCCCCAGACCGCCACATCGAAAGTACTTTCCTCCTTATCTGTCGCCCATTGAATTTGAGGACGCATCTTCTCCCACTTCACCTCAAGGTTTGTCTGCAGGTCTGCAGTCCGCACGGTTGTTTGTGTGTTAGCTGGAAGTATATTCGTTCATCAACATTCTTAACTGTTTCCTATCTCCTACTCTTAATCGTGTTTATTTTAACCCTTGACGAACACACATTCTTTGCTGTCATTTCAGTTTGAGGTCTAGTTATAAGATCATGCTCTGCACCAAAGGTGCCCCCACAATGAACGTCCCTCGAGGTGACGCGAGGAAAGGCTGGGCGTCGAACGTCCTCGTCCGTCCGCCTTTGGGCGCTCTGGGCGGGCAGTCGTCTTCGCACGGCTGCTTAGCGGGTTAGCCTACCCGTAGGGTCCACAACTAGGAAATTTCGTGTTTATTTTGAATACATTCAAAATTTGTTTATTCGTGATTATTAGCGAATATAAATGAATATTCGTGAATACTAACTGAAATTTTACTGAACAGTAGAGAATATTGACGAATAGCAGTGAATAATCGTGAATACCACTGAATAGCAACTGAATAATGTTGAATACTAATTTTTTCTTGAACCGTGAATATTCGAAGCTGTGTACCCCCGCGGGCCTACCCAGCGCTCAGTAAGCGCCATCTATAGCGTCGTCTCGTGAAACGTCCATTGTGACACCTGTAGGGATCATTCACATTCCACTAAACGCTCCGGGTACAATTTGTAATTTTTTTTCCCTCACTCCTACTTCTGGATAGAGAATGGTTCATTTTTCTTGTTATAGTAACAAATGTCATCCTTGCATTTTGTCTGTTAATCTATGTTTAAGTGACCACATCTACCATCTAACATCATATCTTACAATTATATTTTGTTTATTAATTTCATGTGTAACAATTTATTTTTAGCATTTTTAAACACTACTTAGGTATTTGCACCACACAAAATTTGTAGCAGATCTGTATTATAAAGAGTTTTACTCTTAACACGAATATAAAATCTGTAGCAATGCCCCTGTGTTTACCTCTAACTCAGGAAAAAATTGTTGTTTTTTTGCTGTTTTGTGCTTTGATTTTTGATTCATATTCCAAAAAAAGTTGTTCAATGGCCTGTCTTTTTTTAGCCATGGCCGAGCCGCCCTCAGGTGGGCAGGGTTCAGATATATAGACACCTAACTTTGTGTGCTAAGCAATATAAAACTACCTTGGGTTTTGTCAACATTAAGCAGTAGTGCCGGTGGCACAACGAAAATGCCTTGACCTTTTTTATTTGATGGGTAACCCTATGAAATATATCCCTGCTACTTTTACAGATCGTCTACATGCAGAAAGTGGCTACATGAGTTCCCCTGAAAGAGGAGGACCTCGGGCATACCCAACACCGGCATATCCTGCCTCAGCAAGTGTGCCATATGAAGAGGGATACTACGGGCAGTATGGCACTCGCTCTGGGTCCATCACACCTGTCATCGATGAGGAAGCAAGGTAAGCCTGATTTGCTGTTTGATAACTGTGTTGTACATATCTGTAAGCATTCAAAGTACAAAACAACACAAAAACCAACATTACATATTGTGTGTTTTGTTTGGGGGAATCCATTTTGTTTACTTTCTTTGTGTACTTCAAAGCCTATTTTTATTTTCTCATGGTAATTAATGACGCTCCGTCATCTTTTCCACGTCTATTTAAAATAAGTGAGAGCTCTTTACAAATTTGCCTTGCCATCTCTTGGATGGATTTCAAAGTTAATCTTGGGTCTATTGAGTAAAGTTCATGCTCATGGGTATGGTTTTTATGTGATTCACAATGTCTCCTTAACATCTAACTTGCTTTCCGCCACCTCAATGTCGCTTACTTCCTGTCTGATTTGTATACAAATCTATAAATCTATTTAAAACATTTTGCCTATAAATTGGCGTTATTAAAATTCCCCAAACCTCCTCCGACTGTCCAAAACTGCTTCAGTTATTCCTTTATTGGTTTGATTCTTTGGCTTTTATTACAAGAATCAACACACTTGCTGTATTACTATTTCTTCCTCATCAGTTGATTCCTTTTGTGTTTGATTAGTTGTTGTTAACATGTGGCAGTCTGATGACTTCTGAACCTTGTTTTGCACTTGCTCCACTCACTGTGTCTTGCACATGCCTCGCACTCATAGCGACACGGAGCTGATGGACGAGCAGTACGCCCTGTACGGCGTGAAGCTGCCCGGAGGGGGCGGGCCTGGGCCTCGTGGTCCCCCCGCCCCCTCTGCAGCCAGAGCTCCCTTCCCCACCCCGGCTGGACCTCCCTACGACGTGACTCGGTACGACACACACTTCTCTTTCTCTCCTTTGCTTCCCCTCACATGTTACCAAATTTATTTGTTGTATCAATGCAGCTAACCTGTGGTTTTTGTGTGGGCAATGTTTTCACTTTTGAGGATAATTTTTGGCTGAACTGTGACTTATGAATCCCCGTTTGGCTTTTCCACCAAAAACAGAATTTTAGTTATTGTCATCATTTTAATTTCCTTAAGTCTTCTCTCTATTTTTACAATAAGAGCAAATTGGCTGTTTCTGATGTGCGAAAAGCAAGTGCAATTCTTGTAACTTAAGTACTGTCCCTGCAACTTGTTCACAGGATACGAGTGGAGAATATGGAGCGACAGCTTGCAAATTTGACTGGGCTAGTTCAGAAGGCATTGACTCATGGTCCTACTCATCTAGCAGTTCCAGGGTCTCAAGGATATCGAAATGGTAAGTGTAAAGTAGGATATTGACTTCAGTGCAAAGCCCTGCTGGGATAGGCGGGCTGCTCCTCATGATCCCTCAAGCGGGTGCGGCCTAGGTAGCAGATTTGTTTTTGTCTCGTATGCTACTGCCTAGGTACAGCACCCGCTCGAGGGGCACGGAGGAGCCCACCCATCCGAGAGTTCTGAGTAAGATTAGAGACATTATCTTTTGCTGAACTCATCACATGGATGTGGACCAACATATCTGCTGGGTCGATGTATAAAAATAAATATATGACAAAAACTTTATAGAATACTGTTAGCTTCTTTTTGTAAGCATGAAGAAATTGCGGGTATTTTATTTAAACTCGTCTAGAAACTTGAAGAAAAACTTTCGAAAGTTTTAATTTGTGTTTTTGCTTCTTGAAAGCTATGAAAATAGAAGGCTGGGCTTTGAAAATATGTTTTTGCGATGCTGTTATGCTAATCTAGAAACCATCAGCAATCATGAATATTAGTTTCATTCTAAAATATTCTGTGGTATAATTCTTATTCAGTGATGTTTTTGTTACTATGAACAACTAAGTTATAGATCTCAGTAGGGGCTAGTTTTCAACCATGTACAGTAACTTTAAGAGCTGCTATTAAAAATCTTATACTCACCAAATCTGTACAAATTGATAATGCTGATGGGTTCACACAGCAATTCGATAGTATTAAAGATGTAATCATGTAAGGGAAGGCGTAAAACATAGAAACAATAGGAGTAGTCTAGTTGACTAAGTAGGTATAGGTGATGATTGCATTCTGGCTTAATTTTTTTCTGTAAAAAAACAAAACAAAAAAACAACAACTTCTGTAAAAACATTGTCCTCTCAGATGTCGTACTATAAAAGCATAAAAGTACTGTCTAGTGGGATTTTGAATAGTATTTGTCAGAGAAACTGCTTTTTTCTAATTTTAAATATATTTTGTGTTTTCATATGTCATACTGTATTTATAGTTGTAGGAACAGTGATATATAGAGATTTTAATATTATTTGTGTGGTGTGTCAATCAGCCTCAGGAGAGTTTGATACATGCAGCTCAGCTTCTCAAGGTTAGTCTAACTCTTTCTTTTTTTTTTCTTTTTTTTTTCTCAATATTATGAAGTGTCATACCAGTGTTGTTTTGGGAAGATTTTTGGAACATGTGAAACAAGAAAATTGTTACTTTAGATTTCCAAAAAAGCCAAAAATATCTTGGAGCGGGCATGATTTCTCTGTTCTACAAAACTAAAGTGTTGTCTTCACAGTTTTGTAAAGTAAATTGAGTTAAATCTTTTTAAATCTCTTGTTAGCCAACTAAAATGTGACACTGAAACTAGTTCTTTTTTTAACCTGAGAATTGAATACGTTGCCACTATAAATTTTGATCAGTATTTCATTTATGTTTATTGTATCTTTCCTCCAGACGATTCCACGTTTGTGAGGAGTGATGTGAAACCCCCTAAACTGGGAAAAGGTAGTTCTTTGTGATTTATAATGAATTCATTAAGGGGACTTATTGTTTTTGCCAATACTTATATGCATTCACTTAATGCACAACTATGAGATGCTTATCTTTGGCTACTATGCACTGCATGACCAAAAAAAGACAATAATTTATCTAAAAATTAATTTGTTTTAATTATTAAAATGTCTGCTTGCAAAGAATTTAAATTCTGGACATAGGCGATTGACCTACACAATTTCATTTCATCACATAGTAGAGAAGTTGTGTTTTACAAATGTCTGTTCTTCATTTTGACGAGCATGTTGTATGCTTTGTGGGCATTATTATTCCATTGAGGCAAGATTAGAAAATACTGGTATCATCTTATGGATAAAAACTTAAGTACAGTTTGTGAAGTGATAAAAAAAGAATACATTTTCATTCATTTACAACAACTGTTAAAGCTCATGGAATAAAAAGATTAGAATCAATTAACATATTTCAAAATTTAACTAATCTAGAAAAAATTTGGGGCAATTTTTTTTGTTTGAAATGTGCATGGGTTAAGATTCAATGCATGCCTGCACTTTGATTCTTTCTTGTACTTGCCCATTTAATCAATTGCCACCTGCCATACAAAATGCAGTATTTACTAGTTTTTAAAAGTATGCGCATGGCTTCTTGTATTCAGGTGGTTTTGATTAACGTTTTCAAGTCATCAGTAAAATATTTTTATGTAGAGTTATGGAACAACAATATCTGCTATAGTAAAACGTTATTCTTTTATGCATGAAGGTAATTTTCTTCCAAACAAAATAATTGGAAAAAGAGTGTTGCCCTGTTTTTTAGTATCTATTTTAGTTGCCTTTTCTGGACTTTTAATAGTATGTTCAATTTTATTTACAACATTTGCCCCTTTGCTATATATCATTTATTTTATAATATTTTTGTACTTTACACATTCTATTGCATTTTCAGATAAATCAGTTTCATTCGAGAAGTCAGTCTCATTCAGTGATGAACCCCCTGATATGAATTCACCCAAGCAACATTCTCCCCAACATGGCGGTAAGTAATGGATGCTCACTTTACGCAACATAAGTGTGTTCTTCATAAGGCTAATGCCTCAGGCATATATTTTGTTTTGAGTTTTGGACTGACTTTCACTCCAACATGTGGCAAGGAAATTTCCTTCAAAACACAGACGTACCTTCCATATCTATCTTTTTCAGTTTTATTTTTACATCAGAAGCCATGGTTTGAGTATTTACATAATGGAGCAGATTACTCATCAGAAGTTACCACATTAAATAATACAGAGCTCATCTTTTACATTGAAATCATTTTCTTACGATTTTCAACGATCTATTTCAAGCTAACTGATTGTTGTTTTTTTTTTTATATTTTTCCCAATAATTCATAACTAATCGTTGTTTCTTGATATCTTATTTACCTTTTCATACATTCTAAGCAGCATGATCATGCAAAGATTTTGCATTTTATCTAGCTGCTTTGTTTGCAAGTTTTTTCTATTTCTTAGGGTATTATCTTATTATCTGCATGTTCAGCATTCAGCATGTGAGCATTCAGCAGTAACTCCCCTCCTTGATATAATAAATAGGCTGCCATGCTCTACATGTAACTTGTGTAAGGCTAGATGCTGAGCTTAAAACTACAACTTGTTTTCCCTGTAATTGTCTCAAATGATGGGCCAAGCAAAGGCCTAAATACGTATCAATATTTTCTCTTTGATAAGTTTTCATTTTTTATTCTGAAAATACAGTCAAATAAACAGTACTGCTCGTGAGTTGGCAAGATCAGAGGAATCAAGCTACGACCATTTAAATAATGTGTGCTAAGTTGTTAGGAGAATGGAGGGAATTTAAAAGACATATTGCAATTCCACAAAACAATCCAATTAACATGAATAGTTTCTTGTATGTTATGGAAATCTGTTCCCAGAGGGGTTGCTGAATAGATCTACCTACTTCACTCTCACAGTTTTGTGTAACATAAATACGTAACTTGGTTACGTTTCCTTAGGCGCCTATTTCTGCATCCTCACAAATTTCTACTGGATGATTATCCCCTCTCCCTCCCCCCTCTCCCCTTTCCCTGTTTGTTGCTGCCGGGAATGAGGATGAGGCCGAGCATGAATATGGTTCTGTACTTACGTAATATGGACCTGGTACACTGATATTTCCTTGAATGTCTGTTACTATCCTTTGACCTGTACTCTATTTTTCTTTTGCATGCTAGCGGACACTAAACCCACTAAACCAGCAATAAAGTCATCCACACTCCCTAGAACTTCATCACAAGGTAAACAAGACTACAAGATTGTTAGAAATTGGTGTAAATCTCACCCTCCCATCTGTATGATTGTGCTGCCAGAAAATCTATTTAAAGTATAATCTGTTCTCCATCCACTCCTACTCACTGGTCAAAAATATTTATCTTTCAAAAACTGTAATAAGTTTTACTTGTACTTGCATTTCTGATTTGTTTTCCTTGTTCATGGTAGAGCGAGATCGTCACAAACCAGCTCCCCCACCAAAGCCAATGTCCCTATCCCCAGGGCAGTATGAGGGACGCAATATCTACAGAGGTAAGGAAATTGGAGATAGATAAAATTACATTAATTGGCGTCATCATCATGTTCATTTACCTAATTTTGTTTTTATACATAGATTTACAGCTAACCCCTGAAATGTACAATCAGCTTCGTGGACTACAGAAAAAGGCCAAAGATTTACGTCAGGAAGTTCGTAACCTGCGAAGGATGTCACAAGCTCAAGCTCATTCTGTGCGGGAAACAATACGTGATACTTTCATTAAAATAAGGTCTGTTGTGAGCAATAACCTTAAATCTTATAAATGGTTTTGAAACTTCAATTGCCTTAAAACCTCTGACAAACTTACGTATTTATTCGATTTGTAGCCGCACTCTTTTTTCCGACTTTAAAACCGAAAAATTGGGTGTGCTGCTTAGAATTGAGCACCCATTTTGCAGGGGTCTAATGGGAGTCTTTTCTGTGACTCCTGTGTAAAATTATAGGTTTGGCTTAAAATTGGGTGCGCCTTTGAATTGAATAAATACGGTATTTGGTTGTATAGCAATTGCTTTGTCTAATGGCCATTGTTAATAAAAACATTCCAGAGCCATGCTTATAACTGGTGCTGAAGGATCTTGGGCTGCGATCGGCGATGCTGAAAAGTTACGGCTCAGCAGAGAAGAAGAACTCTATAAACAAGAAATGCTTCGCCTTGAAAAGGATCTCACGTAAATGTTTTACTATTTCACTGTGATATGTTAAGGCTGCTTGACTTGATAGGAATATCAATTTATCTATGTTTATGCCACAGGGAACTGGAAAGTACTGTTGAAGAGCTAAGAGGCAACGTCATAAATAGGAAGACTCGGGTAAACATGTCTGATGTTGAAAATATGGCCCTAATTCTTAGCAAATCCAGGTGTGTATCAATATATAATATAACATAGCTCATGCAATGCAGCCATTCATGTATACAGTACTGTATTTATTTCAGTTGTCAAAAAATTACCTATCTGATATAAATATTGTTTGTTCATTTCAGTAAAACTGTTGCTGATCTCAAAGTCCGTTTCCCTGGCTTACAAGATGAAATGAAGAGCCTTCTTTCTGCGGAGATGGACAAAGTTGTGAGGGAGGAGAAGTGGGTTTCTTTTCACTGTTCAATTTTCGTTTGTTTGTTTAGTGCTTTCAAAAACATTTACCAAGTTCTTTCTTAATTTTTCTAATTAGATTCTTAAAAGAAGAACCAGAAAGATTGGAAAGTGCCTTGCGTCGGTGTAAAAAGTTAACAGGAACATTGGTGACCTTAAAACGGTATTACTTAAAGAAATATACTTTTATTCTTGGTGCAACTGGTAAACTTAACACTTCAAAAGTATTTAACTATTTGAAAAGAAACATTTTGTTCTTTTTCAGATTGGCTTCAGTTCAAGAACAACGCTTGCCTTGTCCCCCTGGTACAGTTAGTGCAGATGCCCGTCTCTCGCCTACACTGGATGATGAGCCTCTACCACCCACTCCTAACTCAGCATCCAGCAAGGTATGGAAGCTGTCACTTATACTTTAATAAATGCTAGCTATTTAGTTCCCTGTTTGCTGTGATTTCCTGTTGATTTGTCGCTCCTAATAGTATTGTTTTTTTTTTTGCTTGTAATTGACACTGACTGTAACACGCTCAGCACATTGTAAAAGAAAACTCTCTCATCAGTGCTGAGTTTTGACCCAAGATCCCATAAGAATAAAATTGTCAGTGCAATGATATGAGAAGGGTCCCAACTCAGCGTGTACAGATTCATATCCTCACAATTTTTCATTTACCAATTTTAAAATTTTGAGGGAATATTGTACAGTTAAATACCTTGTTGACAGATCTCCCATCTGTATAAGCCCATGCAATCAGAGGAGCAAAGAAAATTTGAGTAAAAATAATAATATTAGCTTCACAATTAAACCACATTTTTTCCTCAAAATCTCAAACATGTCTCCTATATAATACCTTTAAAGAGGCTTTCCAGTGTAGAATTCACCTGTCAGATAAGGATGAAAATTTGACTTTAAAAGGCAGGGGAAAGCCAAAAACCCCTCCTCTGAAAAGGTAGAGGAGCAGGACCGTTTTTATGTAGTTTAAAATTTTATAAGTAGGATATTCTTGATCACATTAAGCAGCAGTTCCCTATATAACACTGACACCGGCTTAGCGAACGGTCAATTGGTCGATGTCTCTATCAAATACAATCAGACTGAAAGAAAGGAACAGACGAGGGGACCTGAAGATGTTCTGTTGCCATGCATCTTTGTTTACACAATGTGATGACATCCAAGGTTGTGTGACTACCTCACCGATTTGGTTTTTGATGTAACCTTTCTTCCTGCTCCTCTCCTGGTCGCACAGCTGTGGCCATTTTCTTGCATAACTGTCTTTCCATTCCCCTTTTTCCTCTCAGTGTGCTGTGCTTTTTTTTGGAATTTGATTTTAGTCAAATATGTGGCCAATTCTGAACTTTTGCTACCATTCAGTTAACATACCATTATGAATTTCTGTCCCTAGATTTGCAGACAGCTGCACTTTGTGGACTGATTTGTTCAAAATATACCTCTAAAAAGGAGAGCTATCATTCTCACTCAAATTTGTAAAACCTTAAAAACTATAAATACCTGTTCTACGGCTCCTCTGAGATTCCTTTCATACCTGCTGGTTATCAATCTAATGTTCATGGGCTTTTCCTTAATCACTTAGCTTATGAATACTTTTATAAAAGATTGCAATTAATAATTTTTAAGTTAATAAAATCGAGAATTGAGTGGCCACATTTCCTTTTTAAGATAAGGATACCACACAATTTGCTCCTAGTGGTGTCATTTTCATACAATTTAAATTAATTTCTTCTTACTTCGTACATTTTACTTGTAGTGATTCTTAGAGTAGTTGCTTGCTCATGATGCTCCAACTAATTACCATTTGTAAAAGATGTGCATTTTTTAAAAATAGGCTCTGTCAAAAGGTCAACTTGATACAAAATCAAAATATGTCAATTAGAAGAATAGTGTTAAAGAGTATTGAATTTTGTTAACTCTTTTATTGTTCTAACACAACATTGGTGTTGAAAACACACAGTGAGATACTGCAATCTATTTATTAACTATTTGACACATTGTTGCAGTTTTAGAAATATAAAGATATACATATTTTTCAGCTTTGGCCTTCTGACCGGGCTTGCTTATTGTACATTACTTTGACTGCTGATGCAAAAGTACAAGTAAATGCCAAGTACCTTACACTCCCTCGAATCATGTTAGTATGCCTGTAATGTTCTGCCTTCTAATACTATTTGTCAGAAAAGAATCCTTGAATGATGTTATTAAAGAAAAAACAACAGCTGTATGAAAAAGAAAACAACATACACGAGAATGTTTTACAGGGTCACTTGGAGATCAAATCGATTTGTTTACTCTGATCCCTCGTACAATTTACTTTCTTCTCACTCATCAGACATTTTCAATGTCTCTTTTCCTAGTTAAATGAAATAGTTGAAATTTCTTGGCTTCTGTTCTGACGATAGTTTTGATATTTTTATTCCTGTCCTCTGTTTTGATTGTGTGCTTCACATACTGCACACAGTGTTAAACTTGAGCCAACTACAAAGCTTGACATTCTTCTTGAAATGAAATTAATATCTATGGGTGTTCATTATACAGGTTTCCTGTTTTATGACATTGGTATATCTATGTACCTTTACCCCACTCTTTTCCTTTCTACATCAGTCTGTGTTCACTCTAAAATACACAGAGGAATACATATCATGGGTGAATGTTTAAGTGGCCTGAAATTGAATCAGATTCTACACACACTATGACTACGCATTGTAGTCAAATATGTTACTTCCACAAACTTAGCATAATTAGCCTAATTTGCTAATCACAGTTTGGGTTTGCAATCACTATAGAAATGGCAGTTACATGTTGTTTTTGTTTCCTGCTCTTTGATCTCCTTTGCATTCTGAGACACAATTATTTTGTTCATATGCATACATTGTTCTCTGTTAGGGTGTCACTTCCCAAAGATTTTGAAATTAAGTTTTGAGTCACTTCTTTCTGTTTTGTGATGGTTGCCAGTGCAATGGATTTGTGCTGAAGAACTAGGGAATATTTAAACAGGCGGACTCTATTATTATTATCACTACTAGAGATATACTACTCAAGGCTTTGCTCATCACTTCTCTTCACGCAGACAACAGTTTCATCACTTATGCACAACCTTCACAATTTTATTTTATCACATAGCATATTGATCTGTACTGTAGACTATTACCACAATCTATAATTCCAACATATCTGTAAAAGACCAGCCTTAGTGTCATCAATCACTTAAAACAGTTTTTAGATACTTGTAGGAGGGAAGAAAATATGACATGTTGAGATTGTTTCTCTCTCATTTTTATATTTTGGATTTTAATCTGAAGTGTAGAGATAAGAAAAGGTGGATCACAATACTAAAAACTAATGGACGGATTTGTTTAAACTGATTACGACAATTAAAGTAGTCCATGTTAATTACTCAAAATATAGGATTGCATGGGCGGTCAAAATTTTTGCAATGTTTCTTGTTTTTTATAAATTTTGTTTTGCTGAGGATACATTATCTCTACACCTGACAGTCATCATCAAAGTTGTTTGATAGGGTTAATTATCAGCATAAGCTGTGAAGTGAATGCTTGGATTGCTGTTTGTAAGTCTATTCACTTTGGATCATATTATCTGTTTAATAATACTAGTAAACCAATTCACTCTTAAACATTAAACCTTATGTTTTTGATCATAATACCATAAGAAGTGCTCGTAGCAACATTACACCAAACGCAGCTTATACAATCATTCACATCGCAATAACTGCTGTTTAAAACTCACATATTTTGTTAAGAATGTGGTTTGTAATGTTTTTTGAGTGAATTCTGACTAAAGAATGACAAGAGCATTTCCTATCTATATTTTTTTTTTTTTTTTTTTTTTTTTTGTATGTTTCTTACATTCATGCTCTGTTAAAACCGCATGTCATTGTCAGTCTTTGCTAAGGAGAAACCTAACATCTTTGTTTCCTCTTGAATTAGGATGGTTTCATTTTTATTGTGTGACCAAGTATGCAATACTGAATTTTGAGGTCATATTTGGCACACATCTAAGTTCCAGATATTGCAATATCTTTTAAAACAGTAGAATGTGTTGCATGAAATTTGTGGCCACCATCCTCACTTAAGTGTTATTGGAATTCTTTGATTTCTATTTTAAAATTTTGCCAGTCTGAACATAATTTTACGCCCTACTAAAGTGATGGAAGGTGGTCGCAACAACGCATCTTGGACTGATGCATTCTGTCTTTGTGTGTCCTTATCGCTCCCATCAACAGTATGGGTGGAAGTGGAGTTCTCACTTCAAGGAGGCCATAACATTAAACGAGTAAAACCTACCAACAACAGTTCGTTCTGCTGCATCTATTAAATGCTATCTTTTTGTTATTTCTTTCATAATACTTTCCTTTTTCATAAAATTTGTGATGCTTGCCTTTAGTTTTCCCAGTTAATATTCAAATGTGTTCTTGAAATTCTTTTTCATTTCTTTATAAACATGTGCTTTTAAAACTAATTCTTGAATGGAAAGCATAATTTTATGCCCCAACAATTCTTCAGTAATCTTTCCTTCCTTGTACAAGCTTGTTCTTCCAAAAAACGTCAGTTTTCACTTCTGAGTGTCACAGTTTCCCCACACATCAGCTACTTTTCCTTTTTTCTTATATAGCTAGTTTTTTAAATTAATAAATTATTTTTATTCATCAAATAGGGAAAGGTATTTTATTTTACGTTATTGATGCAATTGTTAGATGAATTAAAACTATCGAGACAATAATGTCCTTTGAAGTAATTTATTTTTAAGTCTAGGACTGAGTAAGTCCATGAAAAATTGTAAATGGATGAAGATTGTGGACATGAAAACAAGATCTTCTCTTTGGAAGAACTTGCATGCCTTTTTCCATGTTTCGTTTGCTTCACTTTCTTGCTTCTTTTTCTTCTGTTCTTCTTATAATGATTTTTGCCCCACCTTCCTCCTTAGTGTAAGGTTAACTGGTGTAGGACAAAGATGTCATCCTAAAGCCCCCTACAGTTCATCAAGGACCCCCCATACATTCTCTCTCATTTTTGACTTTCAACTAATGAAAAGTATTCTCTCTCCAACTCTTTCCTGTTTCTCTCTCTATCCCTCTTATTTTCTAAGTTTTTTCATCAACATGTTTCTTTCTATTAGTGATATTTCTGGGGTATACATCAGTTATTATTGAAATGCAGTTTCTTGTTCATACACATTGATGTTGTTTTTTGTTTGTTTTCTTCTTTTTTTTCATTTATTTTTTTAAATGTTGTATACAGTCTGTATAAAAATTTTAATCTCCAACAACCTGTGAAAGAGAAAAGGATATGAATCAAAATATTCTAAATTTTTGTGTCAAGAAAATCCATGGATATTTATACTTTAACTTCACCTTTTCATATAATCATATAAGGGAATCAGAACCATCCAAATATTTTGTGTGTAGTATGTGTGGTTTACATATTATCATGCAAGAGGTTTTACTATGATTATTCAATCCTGCTTACATCTCGTATATTCCTTAATATTGAATATGTATTTGAAATTGAAAGGTTTGGATGTAGATTGTCTTTTGACAGTAGTTATTACATAGCAGCTAATTGTTTGGCTTTATTTGGGAAAACACCTTACTCTAAGGATGGAAGTTCCAGTACATATTATTTGCCTTTTCTCTTTACCTTACTTTAAACAACTCAACCTATAATTTTGATTGCTGGTCTAGCAAGAAGTATATGAGTAAAATCATCATGCCTGCTTTAAAATTACTTTTCTAGTTGAGCATACTTAGGAAATTTGTTGTGCTTTGGCGCTAGTCTGTCATTCAACCATATTTGCGCTCTGTACGAGTCTGTGTTTGGGAAGTTCTAGATTCTAGCTCTGGTAATATAGAATTTGTTTTGAACAATACTCTTTCATTGGGCTTTCATCCCAAGTCCAAACAGTTGGGTGCAGAAAAACCGTGAAACATGATTAAAAAAAAATAATGTTGTACCACTTTATAAGCGGGAAAGTAAACTATCTAAGTCTGTTCCATACCAAGATGATCATTGCGAACTTATCAACCAATAGTGGAACAATGTCGTTCAGTGTGAGACATGTTCTCTTTCTGTCTGTGAAATTACTTAATTAAAATATAGCATGTTTTTCAGTGCTCGCTTTTGTAAGTTTCTGTTAAAAAAAAACAAAAAAACTTTCTACTTTATTCCTTTTTTTTTTTTTCAGAGTTTCAGCTTGGCTCATTACTTGTTGCTCATTTATTGTGATCCACTGCATGGTCACCCCATCACATAGTATGCATGATGCACCGTAAAATTTCTTGTTTAAACAATGTTGGTGGTGTAAGGGTCCTCAATACCCCTTCTTTCCTTCATAAATAGATTAGATCATATGAGAGCACTGACAGATGGATTAAATTCCAGAACCTAGCCGCTAGATTTTGCTTAATGTCATGAAAAAGCAACCCAAAAACAACTTATGTATATGCAAATTTTAGAACAGTTCTTTAATGTATTCAAGAAAATGTATTAATGCTATTCAAAATTTGGAAAGTAGGGTGTTGGACCACATTTTAATTTTTCACTTGGTGTCTTATGTCCTTGGTTTTACTGTGTGTCAATGCAAAGGTTCCCACCCGATCACCTCCAGAAATGGCCAAATAGTTTGGTTCAGCCTTGTGACGGAGGCCAAAGGTTTTCTAAAATTCGCTGTCAACGGGAATTTACAAGGTAGTGCAATAGTTCACAATCTCTTACAAACCTATTAGTTCTCCATTATTTTATTGGAAGATGACCAAACAAATATTTGAATTTTGATAGTGGACAATACACATTTGAAATCAGAATACCGTGCATATAGATTAGTGCCTCTCAATATTGTCTACATCAGGGTTTCCTCTTTTTCCCTTCTACAATTTACTGCTCAAGAATTTGTCAAGTCTTCAGAGTAAGGTATTTCTCTGTATTATGCTCATGGAGGCAGAGGAGGTGATTCAATTCTTTTATTTAAAATAGCTTGTCTTTTTTTTTCGTTTTTTGAAAATTTTGCTTATGCATCAGATTTTTTGGTATATGTTATTACAGTTTTCAAAGTAGTATATTGTTTTAATATCTGTGTTCTTTGCTTCTAATCACTTTTGCATTTGAATATTAATTTTGACTTGCTCTACTGTTTACGGTTCTTTCTTACCATAAATTTTTTAAATGGTCTAGTTTTGTTGTTGTGTAGATGGTTTGCTCAGTAGTTCTTTTCCCATTATTGCTTCTTAAAGACAATGTTACTGTTGAAACATGACAGTTTTTGCTCATGTTTTATAAAAGTTTTCACAACTTCAGTGGAACAGAGTTGAACAAAATTTTTATGAACATGAAGGTTTCTATCTACCCATAAAATGCACGTGTTTTTATTTCAAAAACACAAAATTCAGAACTTTGTTCTATTGCATTTATACTCTTTTAATTTCTTTGCAATACTTTGCTCAGAAATATTCTATGTGAAAACTTTAATGAGAATTATTTTAAAACTCTTTAAGTAATTGAAAGTAACTTATCCTTTTTTATGTGTAGGCCTGTGTCTTCGGTTCGTCAAGAAGCATCGTGGGGTCCACCGACTCAGGAGGGGAGTGCAAGCGTCCGGAGAATGCACTCGACGCCCTGCTAGATGAACTTCAAACTTTCGCTAAACCACCTGCAACAAATCAAACTCATCCTCCAACCATGGCTGAAATTGGTCGACGGAAAGGCAGCATTGAAACTGCCAATCCTCCTCCAAGCAACCCAACTTCTTCATTGCGTCGCCTTCATTCATACCCAAGCAGTTCAGATGGAGGTGGTAATTCACCCCCTAATATAGCCCGTCTGCAAGTTTCAGACTCTAAGCCTCCAGTCCCCGAGCGGAATGCTGATCTTTTAGCAAAGAGAGTACCACCTCCTCCACCTCCAAGAACAAGCTCTCGCTCTCCTTTAGCATCTCCAACTAGCCCATCGTTGCCACCTCGATCCCAAAATCCTCCCAGCCAGCCTCAGATGGGTACCCAAGGGACACTTCGTAGGGCACAAGCAGGCCGAGGTAGTGTTAGGTCATGTAGTATTCCTGGAGCTGATCCCCTCCGAAATCCCCTAGTGGTGGAAGACCAACAAGTTCCTAGCCCTGCAAATGCAGCTGCATCCAATAGTTCAAGCTGTGAAAGTGTAAACTCTCAAGAAGGAGCAGCTGCAAAAAAAGAAAGGCAAGAAGCTCTTGAACAGCGTCATCAAGAACTCCTGAAAAAACAAAGAGCATTACAAGAACAATATGCTCGTCTCCAACAGCTGCAACGTGGTACATCAACAGTTCCTACACCAGATCTTCTGCTTAAAAAAACAGGCAGTGAGAGTAATCTCTTGGCTAAAATGGGCATGCAGGGCTTATCAGCAGCTGCCCCAATGTCAGGTTCTCTAACTCACTTAGCAACTGCAGCTGCTTCAACGCCACTTACTGCTGCCCAAACCACCACTAGCAAAATATACGAAACAGACATTCTGTGACATGTTTGAAAACAGCCCAAGCACATTTTACCAATAGCTGTAGTCCAAAATTCTTGATAAAGTATCTTGTAAATAGGGATGGTCTTCTTGTTTAAAAATGAGTGCCCCTCCCAAAGACTAACTAAATGTTTGGATAGCAACACTTATCTGTTCTAGATCAATAACAGTTCACCAAGTTTTCAGCCCCCAATAAGTTGGCCTAGCCATTTTTTTTACCCATCTGCTTGTAAATGTTCTCTTGAAACTGAAACTGTTGACAAGCTTTCCTGTTCAGTATGCTTAAGTGTCAAAGCAGGGTGAACCAATAACAACTTTCTTACATGTGCCAATACCCTCCTAGCGCTTCACTGTTTATTTGTACCATGTGTCAAGCTATAAAATTAAATTATTTCACAGACCAAAGAAGTGAAAGTCATTACAGTCTTAAGAGAATGAGCCTTTCATGCTTGTAATTCTTTTTTATTACAGCTTAATTTACTTTGCATATTAATGTATTAAAATCAGTTGTGTCAAATATTCATGTCTGTCCTATCAAATGCACCAGTTGTCATAAATGTTGTTGCCAAAGTAAACTTTTCCTTCTATTTTTCCCTCTTGTATTTTTTCTTGATGTACTGTGAGTTTTTTTGTTGTTGTGTTTTTTGTTGTTGATTGAATTGTATATATGAAAAGATAAGAGATATAATATTGGCCATTGCATTCTGAAATTTTTTACATTGAGCATACCTATGTTACTTAATTGTCATAGTGAATGTTTTAACTTTATCAGGTTGTAAAAATTTGCTCAATCCCAGTTAAGTGCGATGTATCTAGATTATCTGTAATCATTATTACTGCCGTCACTCAAAACCGTTCTTGAATGGATATTGTAAAAGCAATACTTACAACACAAGTATTACATACAGTTCAGACTAGGTCTGTCACTTGTGTCCTTTCTCCTCCCATTCCTCATGGGATATACGTGAAGGAAAAAAAAAGATTAATTTATAATGAATGATGAATTTATTTTATTTGATTATTTGAGTATTATTGAAATGATATTGTGAAAGTGGCTCATTTTGAAGTCTTTAGAGGTAAGGACAGGTGAATGATTACACACAGTTCGGTTCTTACAAAAGCATTCATTATAGCATCATTCACATTTCCTGTCATTGGTAAAAAAATTATATTCACATTGCTATTTCTTATGAAGAAAAACATGTAGTAGCACATTATATTGAGAGTGGTTTAAGGTTATTTGAGAAAAATCAGACATTATAACATCTTTAAGGACATCCAATTATTGATCAAAAATTGTTTCAGTCCTACATAGTTCAACCATGGTCATGTTGTCTAATGTTTAACACTTCAATTTTCAATTTTAAAATCTCCCTTTCCTCCCCTATTTCCCCTTTCCCCAAAATACCCTCACAATCCTTTTTATTGGATCTATGTGTTTGCATTAAGACATCACTTGTATATGTGTATTGTAATAATAACTTTGCATCACTTTGTAAAATACATGAACAAATAAAATGTATAAAATTGGGCATAGCTAGAGTTGCGTTGTATGACATTCAAATAAACATATGAAAGTTATTAGATTGAAAAAAGAAGTCAATGTTTTTATTTTGAAGTCTCCTTGGCTTACTCTAAGGGGGCCCGAGCCGAACACTTGACTGGTAGGGTGGCTCCTGTGACATCCTCAGCCTAGAGGTAGCTTTGACCTTCCGGCCCTCTCACTAAACGAAAAGAGCCGGGTGGGGTGCTAAGGAATGGGCTCCCTGGGGGACACTGCAGCGTTTTTACAGAGAGATCTTCTATAACGTACGCAACAGAGTTACATTACTAAATATTTTCGCAGTAAAATCCATCGCAACGAAACGAACCAGAAATCAAATACAATTACCTTCCATTCCAGTTCCAATACTGACTTCCTTTAGACGATGAAATCCAAAAGATGTCCCCATAATGAACGTCTGGGGCGGGGAGCAATCGTCTCTAGTGAGCCGCCTGAAAGGAGGGCAATTTCTGCTACAACCGACCCACATAGTGCACCGCTCCCCTGTCAGCCGGACCTTGTCCCGCTTCTGGAGCAAAGGGAGCGTTTGTAGCCTTACTTTACCTTGCGTCACTTCGGGGGACGTTTAATGTGGGAGCACCCAAAAAGCAAAGGCAATCGGAAATTTTGAAGAAAGAAATTAAGATCGTTGCAGCTTGTAGGAATTGAACCTACATCATCTTCCGCGAAGGATGAGCAATCTGCCACCGCCTATTGCTTCGAGACAGAGAGTGATAATCAAGAAAGATGGAAAGATGGTAAGAGAGAAGGGCTGTCAAAATAAGATACGGTTTGGCCGACCGACCGACCGACCGTCAACCTCGGAACGACCAGGACGACTGAAATATTGTGTCCGGGGATTTTCTCGCACGCTGAGTCCAAATCCGGTAGTGCCGATGTCGTCCGGGCCCCCGGGGACGTCATTGGGGACCTCCCGAGCACGCCGATGACACTCCCTCGACAAATACGATTCGGCTCCAAACGTCGTGTACACACGGGCTGGTGCATATTTCTTAAAAGTCGCCAAATATAATTATTAT